TATATATACAAAATAACGATTATTTTTTATCGAAAAAATTAAGATCAAATTCAACGATATTTTTGATTGAAAAAAATAACGATTTTACAATGACCAAAAATAAAAATCTTGATATTTGCCAGTAACAAATTTGTGAGAACAAGACCACATTTCCTCTCAGTGAGATAAAAAACACAATTGAAGGATGTACGAAAACGCAAAACCAGTAAAATTTGCAAGTTCAATGTTCAGCTGATTATTATATTATTTTCAGAAATAATTTTTTTATAAAAATGTTCTTACTACTCATATATCGTCGTTTAAAGTACAAAACCGCTCATCAACATAATGCAAAATCGCTTATGTGGGGTTGCATAATTATTTTGTAGAGTAAAAATATTCATATTTCAAAATTGTTCTCTGTTTTATAAGGCAATGGCGTTTCTGGCTAGTATATTTCAGGACTATCCATTCGTATTAGTACTCTCATTGAGAGGGATTCTTGAAAATTTTGTTACTGGCAAGTTACTGGATATTTTTTACATGACCCTCCCAATTTCCAAGACTTTGCAACTTTTGGGGTACGAAAACGCTAGCCAACAAAAATTCCAGTAAAATGATTAGTATGTAGTTTTTACTGGATAGTGCGTAGAAAACGCAACTACAGTCTCTAACGTTTGAGAAACATTTGATTTTACATTCGATTTCTAATGTAGTTCTCCAATGTTTTTCGAATCGAATAGAAGTCGATTATAGATTGAAAAAAAGTACACTAGACAAAAGAAACCAATTAGAATCCAACGTTAGAATACGCTTATATAACAGCTCTGATCCAGTACTCCATGAACTAACAGGTTAAGAGCGATTTTTGGAGAGTTGTGTAGATAATGAAGTTGCAAGATTCTACCCGAACTTCTTCTTTTGGTAAAAGCATGAAAAGTGTCAAGCGATCACTGGTTGATGTTTTTACAGGAAAAATGTTTTTTTTTGTGCCTGTGCTTTTTGTTGTTACTCACTTTTTACTCTCACTTCAGAGAGTCATTTTGCGGTTTGACATTTTTACAGGAATTTAAACGAAAAGTGTTGGATCAGAGCGTATGCTATAATTCTTGATTCTAATCTCTAATCGTCTTTTAACCTTCTAACTTAGAGAGAAAAACATTAGAATTCGAATCGTTCTTTAAACTAAATGTTTGTTGTGACACTTACCCAAAGTACGTTTAATAGACTTCACAGAATAGAAGTGCCTTGACGTATCCAATAATATTCCTCTCCATTTATATTTAGGTGCATCTTCTATTTCCACTTTAGCCAATAGTTGATATTCTCGACGAATATCATCATAAACTATTAACTGTGAAATTGTTTCCAAACCATGTCTTCCACCGAAATATGTATTTGCTGAGATTTTAGCGATCGCACCACCACCCCCTTTTAGGGAGGCTATAGTTAGATTGTAGCTCTCATCACTATCAAGCGTTAGACGTGGTAGCTCATCGATTTCGGAGTTTATTTCCACTACTACTGTCAAATTGGATCCACCAGGCTTTGGTGCGACAATTACATCTTCTGTGTGGCTTTTTAACTGCTGCAAAAATCTCTCTTTGCTTGCCTCCCATAGCGATAGTTGTTTGGTGAGTTTGGTGGGAAATTGAAATGTGATTGTTGTTATATCTACATGTAGTAAAATATTCTCAGTGCGCATAATTCCAGTTGGTTTTGGCCAGACAGTTCCCACTGGTGAATCTCCGCAAAGCAAACGACATACTGGCAAACTGATGGCTGTCTCTATAGTTTTCTCCGTAATTTCAATTCTTAAACACTTGCTCTGCTGACATTCGTATCCATAAACAACACTACGATTAAATAATAAAGCATAAATCAAGGTGCATTAACTAACATTTTGGCATAAATGAATAACAAAATAAACCGCCAGATGTATGTGGTAATGATCAGTGATTTTAGCGAAAGTGTTGAGGGCGCTAGATACGGGGATATTTAATGTAAGGTTAATATTTAAACAACAAATGTATGTATATACATATACATAAGTACGCTTACTCATACTCTTCGCCAACAACTAATGAGCTAAAACTGCCTAATAAAAATATCACAATTGCACAGAAAATAACAAAATTTCGTTCCATTTCGTGTGTGCTCTTTCTCCAATAACCGACTGCTGTAGTGCCCCTCTAGTGACTGAATTGATAACTTGATATTGCTTTTGATTATAATGGAAATACACTCACGTGTATATGCACATATGTACATATATGTATGGGCACATACGTACATACATATGCACATAAATATTGCTTTCAAACTGGAATATCTCGTACCGTATACAACCGCAGTTTTCATAAAGACTAGTAATGAGACTGCTCGTTGGATTTGATGGATCAGTTAGAAGACTCTTATCAATCAGTACAAGTGCATTTAAGTGTATCGATTAGCTGGAAATATTTGAATAATACATATGTAGATTTGCACACAAAAACACATGTTGAATTTAAAGCTCAAGTTTAGTGTACAATTTTATTATTTTTTCATTTATTTATTGCCAAAACAATAGTATAGTAAGATCTCCAATCATTTATATGTAGAATACTAGCTCCCACTCGGAGTTTCGTCAAGTCTCCATGTTTCCGCCGGAACGGAAATAACCTCGACAGCTGAGTTTTGTTTACATTTGAAGTTTGTCGACAACTAATAACCAGTGTTGCCGGGTTTTTCTTTGAAAAAGGTCTAAAACCCATGAAAATTCGCGTTTTTTTTTCTCGAAAAAAACACCAATTCTTTTATTGGAGGATTTAACGCATACAAAATTTTGTTGTATGTGTGCCGATTCAAATTAATAAAAATTAATGTTTCTTGCCCGACGGTCGAATTTATTCTGTTTTCTATAAATTCAAATATTTTCGTCCAAATGCCGCGACGTAAACATTTTTGTTCTTATTTTCTAATTTGCAACTACTGTGTCCAGCGTTGCCGTTGCGCTTAGATTTGCGCTGTTTCATTATTAATTTTTCTTCGTTTTACTTAATTTTTTCTACAATTCCTATCAAACGAAAGTAACAAAAAAAATGATGTTCCATGAACCATGTGGAAGTATAAATCTACACAGTAGTCTCTTATGATCTCGTGAACCAAGGGACGTTAAAAACTTATCTTTCAGGCCGCTTCACACCTGAAACATAACAAAATTTGATTTCCCTTTTTAAAGTGTCTTATTTGAGCGGATCCACCGGCGCATAGGAGAAAAAATCAGAACGCAAGCGAGATTTCCAAGCATGTGAAGACGGCCGGTAAGCATCGGATTTTCGATATAGCTCAGTGCTCATGAAAAGTATCGATATTCTGTACTCGGTACTCGTTAAACCCGATTTACATGTTTCAAGTACTTGAAAAATTCTTGCTTATTCTCTTTTGCGTTTTCTATTTGCTTTTACACGTTTCAATTCTGTTGAATTCAAGTTTTTGGTTCTTTAAATGGAAAGCAACGAAAATGCCAAAAGCAAAGCAAGAAAGTTGAAACGACTTGACGGTACAGACGCATGTGTACTCGTCCCTTTTCTTCTCACCCCTCTCTTCCACAAGCGAGCAGAATTGAATTCAGTACTTGAACTGTGTCAAAGCAGTCTTAGTGATAGAACTTATTAGAAAAGTATCGATACTAGTACTCATATAGAACACTCTGAAGAAGAATCGATGCCAGTACTCATATTTGCAAAGAAGTATTAATAGTACTCGTACATTAAAGTATTTTTAAATCAAAGGCGAAAAGTAAACAAAAATCAGATTGCTTTGCTTTTATAACCTCTTCCTATTTGTAAATTAAATAGACAGTGCTTTAAATAGCTGCTAAGACAGTGTTGAAATAAATGCGCGTTATGCTCTTTTTCAGGACATTCATATTGGATATCAAAGATAATTTTCGAACGTTCGCCACAATGTTTATTGGGTAGTTGTCCAACATCTTGTAATTGAAGAAATTAAATTTTTTATATGAATTTTTAATTTTTTTACTTTATAAAAGTTCTTAAAACTTAGATATATTTTGGAATTCGCGATACAACTCAGTACTCATGAAAAGTTTCGATATTCTGTACTCGGTACTCGTATCGTTCTATCACTAGTACTCGTTTCGTTCTAACACTGGTTACAGTTACATTACGCTCGCTCGTGTACAGACTGTGGTTGCAGTTTTCCCGAAATACTCAAGTTAAATTTGTGAATTCTGCGATTAAAAATCAAGAAAAGTTGTTAAATAGTTACCCGCATTCGTTATGCAATGAAATTCGATGTATTTACGACATTTTGAATGCTGAAAGAAGGAATTATCCAGACTTGAAAAGCATCTCAGCCATTGTACGGAAAAAGATAAGAAGGGAACGAAAGAAGGCGGTTTTTTTGGGCGAAGTGGAAAACGAGGCTTGAATTTGCATTGTGCGGTTGCCGTGTATTTGCGTGAAGGAAAATCCGGTATATTGCAGTCTTGCTTGCACCCCTGTTCCTTATAATACCGGGGAAAACATTTGACAGTTGAATGCTACGAGAATAGCCTTTACCTGTTCTGACGCATTCTGCCATGCTACGAAATCGTTTTGCTTCACATTTTGCAATTTTGGTACAGTTTAAAACGGAATGGAATTTTTGAAATGCCAAATCGCAAGTGATGTTTCATGTTTCATTGAAGCGAACAAAGGCGAAAAAAGAATTTGCTTGAAAGAAAAGTCAGATTAATTTGTGAATGCGTCAACCCGGAATCGAAACGTAGCGGCTTTTACAAAATCAATTTACCATTAAATAAAGCAAATATTAAACAATATAATTTTAATATTATTACAGTGACTATCATTGCGCGGGGAAAGAAAAGTGCGAAATTGGAAAACTGACTTTGATAAAATACGATATTTAAACATTTGTACGTTCGTGTATTTTTCGTGGGTTTCTTCAATTGCGTGTCGTGTAAAAAAAAGTAGCAGAACAAGTGGTTTCAACATATTTTCAGCCCGGAACTTTATTAAGACGCTTCATATTAGTTGCATCTATGCAGAAAATTAGAAAAACATTGTGAC